GGGTCACTATGAGTCAGAACCTACTCAACAGCACCTAACAACAACAATGACAACATCAACACATAATAGGAAATTTTTAAGTTATAATAATATTAGAATTCATATGAAATATAGATCTACATATACTCGATTTCCACAAGTGGTTGAATATTCATTTGAATTTTAAATCTTTGAATTGAGATAGGTGACAGATGGTACTGAAATCTTAAGCATTATAAACAAAAGAAACCCTGGTGGTACAGTGGGTTAAGTATTGGGTAGCTAGTAGCAAGATTGGAGATCAAACTCAACAGCAGCTCCCAGGAGAAAGATTAAAGCCTTTCTGTTCCTGGAAAAATTTACAATCCCAGAAGGCCTAAGGAGCATTTCTATTCTGTTCTGTAGGGTCACTGAGAGTCAGAATCACGTCAGTGAAGTCAGAATCAACTAAAAGACAGAGGGTTACTATAAACAAAGAAAAAGCAGTAGTGCTTAAATCAAACTATTGACATTTTTGTTTGACAGTAAAGCTTCATGAGATGGAAGGAAGAAAGGGGATAAGAGAGAAGGAAAACGTCCACATCAAATAGGTAAGATGAAGGAAAGGATGGTTGGAAGGAAGGCAATAGGGAAGGAGGGAGGGAGGGAGGGAGGGAAAAATGTCTGCATAATAAAAATCACCCAGTTGCATTCATAGATGAAATCAGATAATTTCCAAAGATCAATTCACATTAAAAAAAGACTTACCTTCTGAATTCAGTATCTCTGTATGTAACCAAGAAATGAAAACCTTCCCTTTATAAAATTTTTAATAAAACATTTTCCTAATGGAAAAAGCTTGTGCGTAAGATCAATGATGATCTTTCCTTAAGAACATTGCAAGGAGCAATATAGTCTCCTTGTAATTGTAACCTACTCCTTATAATGCAACCTGCGATGGTATGAAAATACCTGAACCCCATCCAGTGAGCTCTGGTACTGAACATGTTAAGTTTACTGCATTGTCAAACTAGTTTTCCTGTATCACAGAGCTGAATAATGCAATAAATTATGAAACAGAATGAGTAAGTTTTCTAAGGTTCTAAGGTCCTCATCAGAGTCCTGGTGTGGCACTGTGGATTAATGTGCCAGACTGAAAAGCCACTTAAACTGCAAGGTAGGCAGTTCAAGCTCACTAGCTGCTCCTCAGAAACCCTAAACTTGGTCACCATGGGTCAGAACCAACTAGACAACACCTAACAACAACAACAACAAGGTACTGATCAAAACTAAAGGATTATGATACAAATAGTCTATAACCCCATTTTGATAGATATTATTTAGACTAGTACTTTTCTGTCCTTGTAAATTGGACTATTTCCTTCTAGATTAGCTCATAACTGAACTTGTATAGAAACCTTTTCAACTGCAGTGGCTGGACCATTATACTATACCTTTCAATCCATACTCCAGTGGCAGCTAACTACTAAGAGAGATGAAAAATTACTCAAAAGATTCAACCAATCTATCAAAACCAAATGTGACATCTCTATGCTTTCTCTAAAATAATCATATGACAATCAAAACTAATAATATAACAATGCAATTCTACTATCTGGGAAAAAAAAAAGTGGGGGTGAGGAGTGAGAAGAGAAAACAGATATGGAAAGGTTCATGCTATGTATTTTACCAAACTAGAGAATGTGTTTTATTAGGGTTATTCATTCATTTAATAAATCTTCATTGAATAGCTAATATGTTCTAGACTCTGGAGCTCTGGTGGCATAGTGGTTACGAATCGGACTGGGAGCCACAAGGTCAGCAGTTCGAAACTACCAGCTGTTCCGCGGGAGAAAGATGAGGCGTTCTGCTCCTGGAAAGATTTACAGCCTCAGAAACCTTGTACAGGGTCGCTATGAGTTGGAACCGACTCCACGGTACACAACAACTACAACAAGGGCTAGAATAATGAAATGAGTGAGCAAGAATCCTTAACTTGTTAAGATCACACTTTAGTGAAAAAATTATTCTTATAATAATTGAATAGTATTAATTCTTTTTTCTTGAAAATTCAAAGTTAACAAAATATCTGAAATATTGGTTATCAGGGCAAGATAAATGAAAAATAATGTTTTTCTGTAATGATTATCTATCATGTAGATTAAACTGCCATGTAAATTAACAGAAATTAAGGAGAATATTTAAATAACACCTTTTTTTTTTTAATCCCTTTCTACCTTAGAAGAGTCCTGGTATGGCACTATAGCATAAGCACACGATTGCAAGGTTGGTGGATCAAACTCACTAGTCGCACCTTGGAAACCCTATATAGGATTGCTATGAGTCAGAACCAACTTGATGGCACTTAACAACAACAACATACTTAGAAAGGAGCTCTGGTGTGACACTGTAGGATATGCACTGGACTGCTAACTACATGGTTGGTGATTCAAACTCACCAGCTGCTCCTTGTAAACGCTATACAGGGTGGCTATAAATCAGATCAGATTTGAAGGCACTTAACTACAACAACAAAATACTCATGTAAATGGCATTCTAAATTAAAACAAAATAATTACAAAAGTGGAGTCCTATTGTAGCATTGTAGGTTGACTGACTGCAAAGTTGTTTGTACAGCAAGGTTGGTGCTTCAATCTTACCAGCCGCTCCTTGGAAATGCTATACAGGGTTGTTATGGGTCAGAATCAACTTGATAGCACTTAACAACAACAATTATAAAAGTACTTCTGTTTTGTTTTGTTTTTACAATGCAATATTCATGAAAGATTTTTAGTTTTACAAAAATCAGTATCAAACAAACACTTGAATGCTTTCTCTGGCTTATTTGCAAGACTGAAAATTTTGGAGTTGGAGTCATTAATATTAATGAAATATATTTTTATTACACATAAATATGCTCTCCTCTAATATTAAATACAAGAAAACCTGGTAGTGATAAACACTGGGCTGTTAACCAGAAGATCAGCAGTTCAAACTTTCCTGCCACTCTTGAGGAGAAAGATGAGGCTTTCTGCTCCTGTGAAGATTTACAACCTCAGTAACGCTGTACAGGGTCACTATGAGTCTAAATCGACTCTATGGCAGTGTCTTTTGTTTGGGAGGTAATATTAAATACATATCTGTATAAACAAGGAAGATTTCTAAAGGTGTTAGTTGTTTTTTTTTGTATTTTGTCCTGTTTCTAGTAGATACCTAGTATACAGTGATTAAGGTTTCTTCTAGTTTTATCAATATTTTCTACATAAATCCTATTGGATACCCAAACTATACATCTCAACAAGTACTATTTGATGAAAGAAAGAAAAGAAAAAAAAAAAACTACAAAAAATATTTCTACTGACTTTTAAAGTACTATGGTTAAAAATAGCCTGCTTTTTTTCTAAATAAATTAGCTAAAATACTTCAAAGGATACATTGCAGGAAAATGTTGTAATTCTGTATTGAGTTATTTTTTTTCTGTTAAACTTTTACAGTAACATGAATTGTCCTTTCCTTCTTTTTAATTAAAAAAACAAATCTCCCTAGTTTTGAAGTTGATTTTCGTCTGTCATCATGATCTGTAGTTTTTCTTTGACCTTACTCAATACCCTATTATGGAAAATAATTACTTTTAAAAAATCAACTTTGTAATGGTGGAAAAGGGCCTCCATCCTGTAAATCACATGTTTATAAACTAAGGAACCGCCATTAGAATGCTGAAAGTGTTCTGTTTAGCTGAGGCTCTTGGCCCCACATGTACTGCTCATCTAGATCATTTCCATTTTTGTCTATTTAGTTTGTGCTTCTGTGCAATTTCATCTGAGTATACTGTTTATGATATATATATCTCCTAGCATGGCACTGGAGGCTAATGCACTGGACTGCAAAGTCAGTTTTAACTGCAAGGTTGGTGGTTCAAGCTTATCAGCCGCTCCTTGAAAACCCTCTACAGGGTCAGTATGGGTCGGAACCAACTTGACGGCACTTAACAACAACAACATATAAGGAGTCCTGACAGTGTTCCACTGCTATTGGTAAGTTTTTCAGTGAATTAATATTTAGCAGTAGTCCATCTCTCCTTCTTCCTAGTTTGTCTTCGTCTAGAAGCTTATCTGAAACCTGTCCACCATGGGTGACCCTGATGGTATTTAAGGTACTTGTGGCATAACTTCCAGAATCATAACAACACGCAAGGCATCACAATATGACACACAAACACAAAGGGGCTTCAAAAGTTCAGATGAAAATGGA